CACTACTTTAAAGATTAATGCGCCTTAAAATTTTGCAGGAACACAAGGGTCATGAATCTATGCACCTAGAAATGTTTTTGATAGCAATGGTGTCGCTTTTCTTTTGCCAAATTATCTTAATGACTTGGAAAAAGTATCACTTTCGCTCATATCAACTTGTCACTCTAATTGCAATGGTGATAGTGCCCATTGTATATAGCCTTGTCAGTTTTTTCTTCAGATTCGTCGTTGTATGGTTTTTATTTCATTTGGTAACTGGCTCGATGGTGTTTTTAGCCACCAGGAAAAGAATTAGCACTTCAACACCTAGGTAGGGATCATTTTATTCTAAATTTGGTATCTTTTAAGGAAGGTCTATTGGTGGTTTCTATTTATTCACAAGATAACATATATTCTTGGCGTTACTGGATATTTTATCGTTACGCTTACAATTTTCGGTGTAAATAATATGTTTTATCTATCAGCAAGTACCGCAATGGATATTGGCCTTTTATTATTATTTTACGGACTTTATTTTGGCGTTATAAGCCGTGATTTTGCCGAAGTCTGTTCAGAAAGGATGGCAGCGCATATTGGGGTAATAATTTGATTCCTAATTAATGTTTGCAAAGTTATATTTTGCCATTTAAGTTTCAAGTCCTAATGGTCTATTTTATCCATACATATGCCATACCTCAGTTGTAAAGCAATATATATATATATATATTGCATTCATTATTTAATATACTTGCCTTTTTTATATAATTTTTATCGCATTTGTTTCACTACACGTTATTTATGAGTGCATTTAATTGTTGTTTGCCATCAACTTTATATTCTTCATTTTCCTTAATTTATCTTTATATTTAGCAACATATTCTTTTTAATTTTACCCTTTATTTATTTGAATTGATCCATATCTTCACCTTATTTTCTACGCACAGATACAAATCTCCTGACGCCTTTCCTGTCTTTCATTAATAGTTTACTTCAGCTTTATTTACTACTTTTTTATTATTATACAAAGTGAGCCATAT